TGTCCCCTCTTCTTCATGTCTCTTCTACATCAACATGTGTCCCCCCTCTTCCATGTCTCTTCTACATCAACATGTGTCCCCTCTTCTTCATGTCTCTTCTACATCAACATGTGTCCCCTCTTCTTCATGTCTCTTCTACATCAACATGTGTCCCCTCTTCTTCATGTCTCTTCTACATCAACATGTGTCCCCTCTTCTTCATGTCTCTTCTACATCAACATGTGTCCCCTCTTCTTCATGTCTCTTCTACATCAACATGTGTCCCCTCTTCTTCATGTCTCTTCTACATCAACATGTGTCCCCTCTTCTCCATGTCTCTTCGACATCAACATGTGTCCCCTCTTCTTCATGTCTCTTCTATATCAACATGTGTCCCCTCTTCTTCATGTCTCTTCTACATCAACATGTGTCCTCTCTTCTTCAAGTCTCTTCTACATCAACATGTGTCCCCTCTTCTTCATGTATCTTCTACATCAACATGTGTCCCCTCTTCTTCATGTCTCTTCTACATCAACATGTGTCCCCTCTTCTTCATGTCTCTTCTTCATCAACATGTGTCCCCTCTTCTTCATGTCTCTTCTACATCAACATGTGTCCCCTCTTCTTCATGTCTCTTCTACATCAACATGTGTCCCCTCTTCTTCATGTCTCCTCTACATCAACATGTGTCCCCTCTTCTTCATGTCTCTTCTACATCAACATGTGTCCCCTCTTCTTCATGTATCTTCTACATCAACATGTGTCCCCTCTTCTTCATGTATCTTCTACATCAACATGTGTCCACTCTTCTTCATGTCTCTTCTACATCAACATGTGTCCCCTCTTCTTCATGTCTCTTCTACATCAACATGTGTCCCCTCTTCTCCATGTCTCTTCTACATCAACATGTGTCCCCTCTTCTTCATGTCTCTTCTATATCAACATGTGTCCCCTCTTCTTCATGTCTCTTCTACATCAACATGTGTCCCCTCTTCTTCATGTATCTTCTACATCAACATGTGTCCCCTCTTCTTCATGTCTCTTCTACATCAACATGTGTCCCCTCTTCTTCACGTCTCTTCTACATCAACATGTGTCCCCTCTTCTCCATATCTCTTCTACATCAACATGTGTCCCCTCTTCTTCATGTCTCTTCTACATCAACATGTGTCCCCTCTTCTTCACGTCTCTTCTTCATCAGCATGTGTCCCCTCTTCTTCACGTCTCTTCTACATCAACATGTGTCCCCTCTTCTTCACGTCTCTTCTTCATCAACATGTGTCCCCTCTTCTTCATGTCTCTTCTATATCAACATGTGTCCCCTCTTCTTCATGTATCTTCTACATCAACATGTGTCCCCTCTTCTTCATGTCTCTTCTATATCAACATGTGTCCCCACTTCTTCATGTATCTTCTACATCAACATGTGTCCCCTCTTCTTCATGTCTCTTCTACATCAACATGTGTCCCCTCTTCTTCACGTCTCTTCTTCATCAGCATGTGTCCCCTCTTCTTCATGTCTCTTCTACATCAACATGTGTCCCCTCTTCTTCACGTCTCTTCTTCATCAACATGTGTCCCCTCTTCTTCACGTCTCTTCTTCATCAACATGTGTCCCCTCTTCTTCATGTCTCTTCTACATCAACATGTGTCCCCTCTTCTTCATGTCTCTTCTACATCAACATGTGTCCCCTCTTCTCCATGTCTCTTCTACATCAACATGTGTCCCCTCTTCTTCATGTATCTTCTACATCAACATGTGTCCCCTCTTCTTCATGTATCTTCTACATCAACATGTGTCCCCTCTTCTTCATGTATCTTCTACATCAACATGTGTCCCCTCTTCTTCATGTATCTTCTACATCAACATGTGTCCCCTCTTCTTCATGTCTCTTCTACATCAACATGTGTCCTCTCTTCTTCATGTCTCTTCTACATCAACATGTGTCCCCTCTTCTTCATGTATCTTCTACATCAACATGTGTCCCCTCTTCTTCATGTATCTTCTACATCAACATGTGTCCTCTCTTCTTCATGTCTCTTCTACATCAACATGTGTCCCCTCTTCCTCATGTCTCTTCTACATCAACATGTGTCCCCTCTTCTTCATGTATCTTCTACATCAACATGTGTCCCCTCTTCTTCATGTATCTTCTACATCAACATGTGTCCTCTCTTCTTCATGTCTCTTCTACATCAACATGTGTCCCCTCTTCCTCATGTCTCTTCTACATCAACATGTGTCTCCTCTTCTTCATGTCTCTTCTACATCAACATGTGTCCCCTCTTCTTCATGTCTCTTCTACATCAACATGTGTCCACTCTTCTTCATGTCTCTTCTTCATCAACATGTGTCCCCTCTTCTTCATGTCTCTTCTACATCAACATGTGTCCCCTCTTCTTATGTCTCTTCTACATCAACATGTGTCCACTCTTCTTCATGTCTCTTCTTCATCAACATGTTGTCCCCCTCTCTTCATGTCTCTTCTACATCAACATGTGTCCCCTCTTCTTCACGTCTCTTCTACATCAACATGTGTCCCCTCTATCATCTCTATACCATACCGTCGCTTCCTCTCTTCTAATAACATGTCTCTTCTACCTCAACATGTGTCCCTCTTCTTCACGTCTCTTCTACATCAACATGTGTCCCCCTCTTCTTCACGTCTCTTCTACATCAACATGTGTCCCCTCTTCTTCATGTCTATCTTTCTTACATCACCATGTGTCCCCTCTTCTTCATGTCTCTTCTACATCCAACATGTGTCCCCTCTTCTTCATGTCTCTTCTTACATCAACATGTGTCCCCTCTTCTTTCATGTCTCCTTCTACATCAACATGTGTCCCCTATTCTTCATGTCTCTTCTACATCAACATGTGTCCCCTCTTCTCCATGTCTCTTCTCCATCAACATGTGTCCCCTCTTTCTTCCATGTCTCTTCTACATCAACATGTGTCCCCTCTTCTTCATGTCTCTTCTACATCAACATGTGTCCCCTCTTCTTCATGTCTCTTCTACATCAACATGTGTCCCCTCTTCTTCATGTCTCTTCTACATCAACATGTGTCCCCTCTTCTTCATGTCTCTTCTACATCAACATGTTGTCCCCTCTTCTTCATGTCTCTTCTACATCAACATGTGTCCCCTCTTCTTCATGGTCTCTTCTACATCAACATGTGTCCCCTCTTCTTCATGTCTCTTCTACATCAACATGTGTCCCCCTCTTCTTCACGTCTCTTCTACATCAACATGTGTCCCCTCTTCTTCATGTCTCTTCTACATCAACATGTGTCCCCTCTTCTTCATGTCTCTTCTACATCAACATGTGTCCCCTCTTTCTTCATGTCTCTTCTACATCACCATGTGTCCCCTCTTCTTCATGTCTCTTCTACATCAACATGTGTCCCCTCTTCTTCATGTCTCTTCTACATCAACATGTGTCCCCTCTTCTTCATGTTCTTCTATATCAACAGTGTCCCCTCTTCTTCTGTCTCTTCTACATCAACATGTGTCCCCTCTTCTTCATGTCTCTTCTATATCAACATGTGTCCCCTCTTCTTCATGTCTCTTCTACATCAAACATGTGTCCCCCTCTTCTTCATTGTCTCTTCTACCATCAACATGTGTCCCCTCTTCTTCATGTCTCTCTACATCAACATGCTGTCCCCCTCTTCTTCATGTCTCTTCTACATCAACATGTGTCCCTCTTCTTCATGTCTCTTCTACATCAACATGTGTCCCCTCTTCTTCATGTACCAACATTCCAGATATTAGATTCAGTCTCTTTCTACAACAGTGTCCCCTCTTCTTCATGTCTCTTCTACATCAACATGTGTCCCCTCTTCTTCATGTCTCTTCTACATCAACATGTGTCCCCTTTGTGGAAAGAGACTCTGAAAGTTTCAGGAACAAAGATTCTCTCTCTTTTTGATCCATTTCTATAAAAACCTGTCTGAAAATGAGCTGATCAGATTTTGGCCACTTTATGATGTCATAACGATGTGTTGTCTTGTGTAACCATTAGCCAATCAGCAACCAAAGTAACCCCCCCCCCCCCTTATCACCTGAATCTCCTCCTAGAGCACCAAAAGGCGCTTTCACACCAAGTACTTTGCCGTACTTAGTTCATGAGAACTCTTTAGTTCTGATGAACTAAGTACAGATCACGTTCACACCGGAATAAGTCCCTGAGGGAGGATTAGGCAAATGAAGCCGCTGACGTCACTTCTTCTTCTTCTGCTTTGGGTTTACTGGCAGGCCGTAAACAGCTTCACGGCCTATACTGCCACCCGGAGTCCCTGGCCGGAAGTCCCCGGAGTTGGCTTCAGTAGAAGCTGCTGGGACTCCCAGCAGCTTCTACTGAAGCCTTCCGAGTAAATCGCCAGAACGCCGTCACCTCAGCCGCCCAGCCAATCAGACATAGGAACCTTTTTCTCCCACAGAATACCTGCTCTCTAGCAGGGACGGGGGAGAAAAATAATTAATTTTAGTTCCGGCTCTTTTTGGTGTGAACGCGACATTTCGGAACTATATCGGAACTAAAGGGGGAAAAGTACGCGTGAACGCGGCTATTGAGTTCTTTGTACCCAAATGTCTCTCATAGGTGCGTGGGGAGGGGCTACTTATTTTCATCTAAAGTAACAGACAGAGAATCAGCACTTTGGAAACAGGGCTGAAACAGAGGGGATTATGGGTAATGCTGCAATGATCTGTTTGGTGTTTCAGCCAATCAGAGACAGGCTCTGGATATATCTGAGACCTGGGATGTATTGACGAAAGAGAGGATGATAGGAGACCTTTAAACAAATAATAATTAAAATGTTTTAAAAAAGTCAAATACATGTGAGAAATATCACAAAACACTAAATGACAGAAATGTTATTTTATCCCACAGAGGAATTATCAGAAGAATAATCCTCTTTTCCTGTCAGCGTACATTTTAGAGATATTTCCACTTAAAATCTGCATGAAAAATAAATGAAAAAAACCATAAAAACTAAAATATTTAAATAAATCTCACAGAAACATCTGATCCTCCTCCAGGTTTCTGACAACGACATTAAAAACATGAGATTAATGAACAACTGTTTCCTGTCGGCATCAAATTAACGGCTCAAATATCATCCATCAATATATTAATAAAAAGCAGAAGAAGACGTCACACACACGCCTACACACACACAAACACACACGCCTACACACACACACACACACACACACACACACACACACACACACACACACACACACACACACACACACACACACACACACCGTGTTTTAAGGTTTGTCTCCCCCATTGACTCACCTCGTTCCTTTATCTCCCATCCTGACGAGCCGACAGAGAGGGAGGCCGTTTCCGTGGAAACTGAGGGAGGATCTCTCCCTCCTCCCCCCCGACAGGAAGTCGTCAGACTCTCAGGAGGAGGTTTCCCTCCCCCTCCTCTCGCTCTATTTCACCTCCCTCTCTCTCCTCTCCCTCATTCTTTCGACTTCCTCCCTCTTCTCTACATATTACCCCCGTTCCTTCCTCTATCCTTAAAATCCCTCTGTTCACAATTCAGCCTTTTCTCAAAATTCTGACTTTTTTCTCAAAATCTAAATTTACTGACTTTTGTTTAAAAGGTTTTTGTAAAATTTAGACTTTTTCTCAAATAATTCTGACTTTTACATTTGATTTTTTTTAATGTTTCACTTTTTCAGAAAAATATAGACTATTTTTCTGAAAATCCGGACTTTAAAAATTCTGACTATTTCTGTGAATCTAAAAAGCAGTAATTAAATGAGTTAAACTGTCGTTGGGTTTATCTTTGAGGTACTTTCTATGTCCTGCTCCTGTTCACTTGTACTCCTAGTTTAGCTTCTTCAGTGGCTCGGAGCAGCAGCTGTTGGCTCCATAACGAGCTCGTCAATAAACTCCTTAATGTGTGAAAACGCCCGGAGCTCCATCATCGCTGTCACATCAAATCTTTAAATATTTATGACAAGATATTTAAATGTATTAATAAATAAAAATAGGTATGAATATGAGACGGGCTGAAGGTGGGAAAGCATTTTATTAGAAAGCATTTATTAGAAATTATTACAGAATGTAAACATTATAAATATATCAGACAGTCTTCACTCAGTATTAATATTTCATAAGTTCAGAGACAAACTCCATCATTTATCCTCAAAATATCAGAAAAACAGTTTTTAAGGAAATCATATTCAGTATTGATAAAAAGGTCAATCTGGGCCGACAGCTAGCTATCTTACATTACATGTCACTTGTTAGACGCTTTTATCCAAAGCGACTTACATAATTTGGGGTGAAGTGTCTCAGGGACACAACGACATGTTGACTGCGGTGGGGTTCGAACCTGTGCTCCCCTGATCCCAACACCAATGCGCTAGTCCACTACGCCACACACCTCCTGTATCTAACGTTAAATAGAGGTAAACGGACCTTTCATGTCTCTAGATCAGTGCTTCTCAAAGTGTGGTCCACGGACCACTGGTGGTCCGTGAGCGCCCCCTAGTGGTCCGTGAGTATATTGGTAAAATTTCACATTTGAAATAAATAAGTTTTCCGCACTCTCGCGGGAATATCTCCGCAATGGAGCGAGCTTAAGTTTCACTTCCAATTGCATGATATAGCCCAGATAAACACCTTCATCACACATGTGGCCACTTGTTTGTACCATATTCAGGCGATTTGTAAAAAACGATGTGTTTTTGGATATTTGTGGAGTTAGGTGGTCCGCGAGTGTTTTTTTATTGGTTAAGTGGTCCTTGGTATGAAAAAGTTTGAGAAACACTGCTCTAGATGAACAAATATTTACAAATATTATTTTTCTGTTTGTTGTTTACCCTCTGGCAGTGAGAGTTATTATAGAAACTGAACATTTGCTTTTTGTAAAACTAAATCTTCCTAAATAAAACTTATCTTCAAACCCAGTCTCACAAAAAACGTGTAATAGCTACGTTGGTCCACAGGGCAACACGTAGTATATTCACAAATAACCCTCTCAGGACGTGACAGGGATACAATATTTTGTAAAAAAAAAACACATGGAGCTCAAATAATCTTCGTAATATCTATCAAACTAAAGATTCTACACATCCACTGGATGTAGACTATAAAAGTACAATATACTGTAAACTTCTCGCTAAATGTAATCAAAAAGCATTTTAACGCCAAACTCTCCGACAATTTAGGATTTTCCACTAAAATTAAATCGGGTGTCCGCCATGTTTTTTTTTCTCAGTGGGAAAGTTTGCGATCACGTGACACGGACCATTAGAAATTAATTGGACAAAAATATAGAGAGGGTTATTTGTAAATATACTACGTTTTGCACTGTGGACAAACGTAGCTATTACATGTTTTTTTGTGAGACTGGGCTCTATCTTATAAGACGCTGCTAGCGCTAAGCCGGAAGAGCTAACAGTATCCGAACAGGAGTGAAAGATTGGGGGTGAATCCCAGCTGTTATCAGTGGCGGACTGGCCATCGGGACGAATCCCGATGGGCTGCCGGTACTGAAGTGGGTCGGTCGGACGGAGAGATGTGGGCCGGTTGGATAAGTCACTAGAACCCCCCGTCGACAATTTACTAGCTGTATTTACTTGCGGTACCGAAGTGGGCCGGTCGAGAGTCCCGGCTGATTCTTAGTCCCAGTCCGCCCCTGTCTGTTATTACTGTTGTTACAAAAGCATGAATGAACCCCTATCTGCTTACATCCCACAATACACAGCTTTATCTGTGTTGTTTGTGCCGGCAGTTTGTCTCTGAGCTCAGGACAGTTTGTCTCTGAGCTCAGGACAGTTTGTCTCTGAGCTCAGGACAGCTTGTCTCTGAGCTCAGGACAGTTTGTCTCTGAGCTCAGGACAGTTTGTCTCTGAGCTCAGGACAGTTTGTCTCTGAGCTCAGGACAGTTTGTCTCTGAGCTCAGGACAGCTTGTCTCTGAGCTCAGGACAGTTTGTCTCTGAGCTCAGGACAGTTTGTCTCTGAGCTCAGGACAGTTTTGTCTCTGAGCTCAGGACAGCTTTGTCTCTGAGCTCAGGACAGTTTGTCTCTGAGCTCAGGACAGCTTGTCTCTGAGCTCAGGACAGTTTGTCTCTGAGCTCAGGACAGTTTGTCTCTGAGCTCAGGACAGTTTGTCTCTGAGCTCAGGACAGCTTGTCTCTGAGCTCAGGACAGTTTGTCTCTGAGCTCAGGACAGCTTGTCTCTGAGCTCAGGACAGTTGTCTCTGAGCTCAGGACAGTTTGTCTCTGAGCTCAGGACAGCTTTGTCTCTGAGCTCAGGACAGTTTGTCTCTGAGCTCAGGACAGCTTGTCTCTGAGCTCAGGACAGTTTGTCTCTGAGCTCAGGACAGTTTGTCTCTGAGCTTTTTTCCCTAATTCATAACAAATGAAAGTTCCCTTTTAAAATCCCTGAAGCTGAACATTAACGAGCAAACACAAACAAATATTCCCAGAATAAATAACATGAAAAAAGAAATATATTTTATAATGAACCAAAACAATATTCCCTCAAACAAATAAATAAATAAAATGTTCTTTATATGTTACCCTGCTTTACATCTTTATATTCTTTATCTGAGATCCGTTTACAATTTTTGAACAGTATTTTCAATTTCTCAATAAAGCAATTCGGTCACCAGCTGTTGTGTCATCCTCTTTGATAAACACGTTAAAAAATATATTAATTATATTAATACTTTACGGTCTGTAGAGTCACTGAAACCGTGTAATTTACTTCAAGAACATAGTGACATCACTACGGAACACTCGCGCTCCTATTGGCTAGCGCTCCAACACATTGTGGATGATAGGCTAAGGGGGCAGGACATCACAATCGGTTGACCACAACAGAGCAGGCCAGCTAACCAATCAGAGAAGACTGGGCTCTGGTTTCAGACAGAGGGTGAAAAGAGGTTCTGCAGCACAGGCAGTATGAGAAAAATAGAGAGCACTGAAATTATTTTATTTTAAATATTTTCTTTAGCTGTTTGTTTCTACGTCATTTAGCAGCGTCGGTATTTCATTTCAAACCCGGTAAAACTTCTTGTAGTATCCCCTTTAAAAAAAACATTTTACCTTTATTGTTGTTGTTTGTATTAATGCTCAGTTATTTCACAAAATGCAACAAAAGCAGGAAGTTCCACATCCCGTTATCCAATCAACACACAGCTTAAAGGTCCCCTATTATACTCTTTTCCATCAATATATCAGGTCTCAGATATATCCAGAGCCTGTCTCTGATTGGCTGAAACACCAAACAGATCATTGCAGCATTACCCATAATCCCCTCTGTTTCAGCCCTGTTTCCAAAGTGCTGATTCTCTGTCTGTTACTTTAGATGAAAATAAGGAGCCCCTCCCCACGCCCCTCTGAGAGACATTTGGTTACAAATAACTCAATGGTGCTCTAGGAGGAGATTCAGGTGATAAGGGGGGGGGAGGGTACACATGTTGATGTAGAAGAGACATGAAGAAGAGGATTTTGCATAATAGGTGACCTTTAGAAAAAAAAGACAGATTATTTTCCTCGTTAAGGTGCGTTGTTTTGCGATGACCTTTTTTATCAGACGTCCCTCCAGAGGACGGCCCGACGACTTAGGTCCACGCTGACGACGTATTCGCCCGACGGAGACCAGGAGACAGCGCTGATGGACGAACTTCAAAGAGAAGACGGGTTATTAAAGTTTTCTGAACTCTGTACGGTTAAATAAAGAAAAACGTCGTAATTCTTTCAATATCTCCTGGAGTTCCTCAGGGAAGCGTCTTGGGGCCTCTGACTATTTTTATTTAACCGTTTAAGGACCAAATGGAACTTTTATAAAAATCCTCAGAACGTGTTAGATTTTTGTCTTGTTACCTGTGTTTGTCGGGGAGGCGGGTCTCCAGGTTGCCGGTGGAAACGTTCCAGATGTAAACTGCACCGTCAGCTGATCCAGCGGCGAGGAAGCAGCCGTCTGGACTGAAGACAGGAAGAGACGTTAAGTCACCTTTAATCACGATAGGTATTTTTATTCCAATGAAACGCCCCAAAGGTGATGTTAGCTAGCCTTGCGTCAACTTTCTAAGTGCACAGAGCTACTTTAGCTAACGTTGTGTGGCGAATTCAATCGTGAGGAAGCCCGGCGCTGCTATATGTGGTCTATACTGAAACTAAATCTATCAGCCTGTTGTTGTTAGCGTATGCATTAGCTTTGTAGCTCACATTCTACAATTTGTCCAAGTTCGCACACAGCTGGGAGACCAGGGGACACTAAAGAGTGACGCACACAGCTGGGAGACCAGGGGACACTAAAGAGTGACGCACACAGCTGGGAGACCAGGGGACACTAAAGAGTGACTCTTTAGTGTCCCCTGTTCTCCAGCTGTGTGCGTCACTCTTTAGTGTCCCCTGGTCTCCGTTGTGTTTTCAGCTTCTTCAGCGTTTTGTATCGGGCATGTCTCCTCAAGCTGCTGAATGTTCTCTAAACGCTGCATGTGCTGAAGATGTTTCTTCATGTGGATGTATTTGGGTTTTTATATCTGCATCCTTTCTGAAGCTGCATCGTGTTTCTACTAATGCAAATGTTCTGGGTCATTGTAGCGTGTTTGCACCTGTTGGCCACCGTACTTATGGCATAACAAGATACATATCAGGTCATTTTAAAACGTTAAAATGGGGTATAGACGATCACATTTTTAAAAGACACGCATTTGATTTTTTCCAGGAAATGTGCAGGGAGGTTTGTGTCCTGAGAGATTCATTCTTCATCTCCTGGATCCAACAGAGTTTACCAGCTGGGAACCCTCAACTGTGTGTGTGTGTGTGTGTGTGTGTGTGTGTGTGTGTGTGTGTGTGTGTGTGTGTGTGTGTGTGTGTGTGTGTGTGTGTGTGTGTGCGTGCGTGTGTGTGTGCGTGTGTGTGTGTGTGTGTGTGTGTGTGCAGACAGCACATCCTGGTCCAGCCGTTGTCAAGGAAACTGCAGAAAATGAGCCCCGCAGAAAATGAGCCCTGCAGGTCCCCCCCCCCCCTATATTTCTGTAGTAATGTTTTGTTTCAGAGGCACAAGCATGGAATCAGATAATAATAATAATAATAATATGCTTTTTATTTTGTGTTTTTATGGCAATAATGCACATTTAATAGACGGTCATTTTAAAGTAAGTATTTGATGAAGGTAAGTTATAATGATGTTATGATGTGTTCAAGTGCAACCTTGTAAAATGCAGATTTTGGTGATAAACCAGATTTTTAAAGGAGATGTTTTGGTTGGTTTGCACGGCTGCATAAAGACAGGAATATAAGTGGAATATTAATTCTTCATGTCAACATCTCAGTGGGAATGTGTTATTTCCCGACGGCCCCTGAACTCACCTGATGACAGCCTTCGTGCTGTCGCTGCCACATTTAAACCCGTCGGCTCTAAAAGAGAGAGAGAAAAACACTGAGAAACCGTGTCATCACAAACAAACACAAAGTTACGCACTCAAACGGCGGTACCTGAAGCAGACGCGCTCGTAGCTCCGCCCCCTCAGGTCGATCAGCTGGAGGCAGTCGTCACGGCAACAGCTGAGCAGATGGCAATGGTCGGGGCTGATGTCCAGAGACGTGACTTTCCCATGGGCGGGAAGTTCCTGAATGCATCGCACCGCCCTGCAAGTGAGAATCAGAATACCTTCATTAACTTGTTCATTCAAAAGGAGTTTAATGTAATAAAGTTTAGTTTTTAATAAATGTTAATTAATTTGTTATGTTTTTTAAGACTTGTTTATTATTATTTTTGTACTGAGAGTTTGTTAATGAAGATGGTTTATGATTTAAATTGTATTATATATTTTTTATTATTAATTAAGCTCGTTGTTTTCCTGACTATTTAGGATTTTTCGCTTTTTTACCTTTATGGTTTTTTTATCAGGGTCTCTTAATTTGTACTCAATATAAATTATTGAAGTGCTGTAAATAATAATGCAAATAATAAGATATAATATATAAAAATACAAATATATATATTTACCAACATTGACAAGTTAAATAAAAAAAGGAGATTATAATTAGTTTTAAATCTGACCAATGAGGTTCAGGGAGGTTTTACAGTGGAGTGTGATTGGAAGACAGAGCTGTCAATCATCAGCTGAAGGAGGAGAGGGGGAGGAGGAGGAGGGGGAGGGGGAGGGTCCTGGGCTGTTGCTAGGTAACAGAGGAAGACGGGGAGTAACTGTGACGACACCCGGAGGACGAATGAAAGGAGTGGGGTACTTCCTGTTAGAGCGAGACTGATATATCGTCTCCAGCTTTACATTCCAGAGAAACAGTTTTTAAGCTTTTAAAATGAAGTGTTATTAAGTTATAACAGTTCTTCAGGAGAGAAACGAACTATCTGTGATTACTTCATCCAAAAAACGTGTATTAGAGGTTTGACGTTGATGTCTGTAGCTGTGAGGAGCTGCTGCTGTACGAGAGCATGTTTTTATAACGACTCTCACGGTCTAACCAGAGCGTTAGAAAAATCACAACATTCTCACTTAAAATTCTGACTTTTTCTCAAAATCTTTACTTTATTTCTCAAAATCACAATATTTACATTTTTTCCTGAGAATCTCAAAATGTGACGTTTTTTTACCCTAAAATGTTTCCTTTTTGCGTACAATTAAATAATTATCATAATTGCGTTTTTTCTCAAACCTCTGAATTATGTATTTTTCTTTAGAAATGTTTCAGACATTTTCCTAAAATTCTAACTTTATTCTCAAAATCACAGCATTTTTACTATTTTCTAATTTCTCTTGATTTCTTTCTGAAAATTCAAGTTTCTCGAATTTAAAAAAAAAATCCGAAAATTCTAAAAAAAATTCTTCAGATCATAACATTTTGACTCCCAAAAAAATGACGAACTTTCTCAATTTCTTGGCATTCTGACTTTTTCTTAAAATGATGACTTTTTTCTTAAAATCACAACATTTTTACTTTACATAAAAAATTAAAGAGTTATTAAAAATGTCCTCATATCAGGTTTTACTGTCCTGCAGTCACTAACAGAGGATGCTGTAAACCATCCCATCACCTCAGCTGAAGATGATCAGGTTTAACATTAGCGTTTAAACAGGAAGTGGGGAAAGGGGCGGGGCTTCATGAGGTGAATGACGTCACCTGGTGTCCCAAACTCTGATCTTGCTATCGTAGTGTCCGCTGATGATGCAATACCCAGTGCAGATGAGGTCGCTGCAATACGATGGCACCTCTACTACCTGCACACCTGCGCACGCACACACACACACACACACACACACACACACCACACACACACACACACACACACACACACACACACACACACACACACACACACACACCACAAAAAACATTGACAAATTAAATAAAAATCATATTTTTTCATATTTAGTTTATTGCCAAATATCCCGAATTGTTGTCGGAATATGTATTATTTTGTGTGTGTGTGTGTGTGTGTGTGTGTGTGTGTGTGTGCATGTGTGTGTGTGTGCATGTGCGTGTGTGTCTCACAGCAGGCTCTCTGAAGGTCCCACAGTCGGACCGTTCTGTCGGCGCTGCCCGTCACGACCTGCAGATTCAAACCGAAACGAGCTGCTGTCACCCTCCTGCTGTGACCCGTCAGAGTCACCTGAGAGACAGACAGGTGAGAGAGGTGAGACAAGTTAGAGAGGTGAGACGGGTGAGAGAGGTGAGACAGGTGAGAGAGGTGAGACAGGTTAGAGAGGTGAGACAGGTTAGAGAGGTGAGACAGGTTAGAGAGGTGAGACAGGTGAGAGAGGTGAGACAGTTAGAGAGGTGAGACGGGTGAGAGAGGTGAGACAGGTGAGAGAGGTGAGACACAGACAGGTGAGAGAGGTGAGACACAGACAGGTGAGAGAGGTGAGACAGACAGGTGAGAGAGGTGAGAGAGGTGAGAATGGTGAGACGGGTGAGAGGTGAGACAGGTGAGAGAGGTGAGACGGGTGAGAGAGGTGAGACAGGTGAGAGAGGTGAGACAGGTTAGAGAGGTGAGACAGGTGAGAGAGGTGAGAGAGGTGAGACGGGTGAGAGAGGTGAGACAGGTTAGAGAGGTGAGACAGGTGAGACAGGTGAGACAGGTGAGAGAGGTGAGACAAGTTAGAGAGGTGAGACAGGGTTAGAGAGGTGAGACGGGTTAGAGAGGTGAGACGGGTTAGAGAGGTGAGACAGGTTAGAGAGGTGAGACAGGTTAGAGAGGTGAGACAGGGTGAGACAGGTGTAGGG